ACTGCACTCCAGTCTGGGCAACAGAGTGAGACTCCAACTCAAAAAAAAAAAAATTAAAATGATAAGAAAAGGGTAGTTTAACGAGTTGTCCCTGTCTCTAGCCTTATCTCCTGGCTCAATTCTTGATCACTCCCAATAATCACTCCCAATAAACATGGGCTTTTTATTCATGTGTTTATTTACTAACCTCAGAGCACCTCCAGGCAATGTAAAGATGAATGATCACATTCTCCAGGTGATTTGCACGCATGCCAATTTTTGGGGGGTGGGGGGTAGGTATCTCACTCTGTTGCCCAGGTTGGAGTGCAGTGGCGCGCTCATGGCCACCGCAGCCTCGACCTGCTGGGCTCAGGAGATCCTTCCGCCTCAGCCTTCCAAGTAGCTGGAACTACAGGTGCGCACCACCATGCCCAGTCAATTTTTTTTTAGTTGGAGTCTCACTCTGTCGCCCAGGCTGGAGTGCAGGGGCACGCTCACGGCCACCCCAGCGTCGACCTGCTGGGCTCCAGCGATCCTTCCGCCGCAGCCTTTCAAGTAGCGGGAACTACAGGCGCGCGCCCGGATAATTTTTTATCTATTGTAGAGCCAAGGTCTCACCAAGTTGCCTGGGCTGGTCTCGAACCTGCGGGCTCAGGCAATCCTCTCACCTCGGCCTCCCAAAGTGCTGGGATTACAGGCTGAGCCACAGAGCCCGGTCCCAGCTAATTGTTTGATTTACTGTAGAGACAAGGTCTCGTCATTTTGCCCAGGCTGGTCTCGAACCCCTGGGCTCAGGCAATCCTCTCGCCTCCGCCTCCAAAGTGCTGGCATTAAAGCCGTGAGTCGCCGTGCCCGGCCCTGCAAGCCAATTTTGAGACAAGCTGAAACAGGAAATCCTTTGCCTCCCGTGCTTCTCGGGCTTATCGTGATTCATTCACCTTCTCTTAAATTGCGGTCGGTTATTTAACGTATTTACGCATGCGCGCTCCTGCCGACTGGAGCGGGCCGCTCGGCCCGGCGGTCCCGCCTCCCGACACCGGCCATTGGCCGGCCCTGCCAGCACTCTCCTGATTGGTGGTCCCGGGCCGGGCCTCCTTGCCTATCAAGGTTGGCGGGAAAGCGGCGGCAGCAGGGTAGAATGGCGGCGCCCGCGGACTCGGTTTGCGGCGGCCCCGCGGCCGTGCGGCTGCCGCGGTCGCCGCCGCTCAAGGTGCTGGCGGAGCAGCTGCGGCGCGACGCGGAGGGCAGCCCGGGCGCGTGGCGGCTGTGTCGGGCGGCGGCAGGCCGCGGGCCGCTGGAACTGGCGGCGGTGTGGATGCAGGGCACGGTGGTGGCGGCGCGCGACGGCGAGGCGCGGCTGCGGGACCCGAGCGGGCCCTTCTCGGTGCGCGGCCTGGAGCGGGTGCCGCGCGGGCGGCCCTGCCTCGCCCCAGGTAATGCGCGGCCCCGCGGCGCCCTCCTTCCCTCCTCTCCGCCGGAAAGTTGCAGAGGCCAGATTCGGGTCTTGCCACTCTGCCCCTGCGGAGCGGAGCGGAGACGGCCCCGCCTCCCGGCCTTTGCCCTTGCCGGTACCCTGCCTTTCTGTCCCTCCCCCAGGCGATCCTGCTGATGACAAGCATCCCCTGCTGCCCGTTTAAGACTGCAGGCTCGTGAGACTCTCTGGGGGAGGGGCCCTCCCTACAGGCGGTTTGCTTTTATCCCCCATCAGGTTTGGGGGAATACTGTCCTAGGAAACTTCTGCTCATCCTTGACATCTCAGCCTAAAGGTACTTTTCTCAGGGAAGTCCTCCTGTCCCTCCACGGAACTCTTAGGCTGGAGTAGCTCATTAATGTTCTTGTCTGAAACCACTGAGGCTCAAACTGGAGAAATGCATCAGAACCCCCTGGAGGGTTTGTCAAAGCCCAAATGGTTGGGCTCCACTCTCAAGGTTTCTGAGTGTTTAGGTTCGGTGGGGCTGAAAATGTGCGTTTCTAACCAGCTCCCAGGTGCTGCTACTGCTGGTCTGGGGGCTGTACTTTGATTTATTTTTTATTTTTATTTGGTGGGTGGGGGGCACAGGCTGGCCTTGAACTCTTAGGCTTAAGCAACCCTTTCTCCTCGGCCCCAAGAGTAGCTGGGACAATAGGCCTGCACTACTGTGCCAAGCGCTTGGACCGTATAGTACTTTAAGAACCACAGGGCCAGCCAGGCGTGGTGGCTCGCACCTGTAATCCCAGCACTTTGGGAAGTGGAGGCAAGAGGATTGCCTGAGCCCGCAGGTTTGAGACCAGCCTGGGCAACTTGGTGAGACCTCATCTCTACAATAAATCAAAAAACTAGCTGGGTGTGATGATGCATGTCTGTAGTTCTAGCTACTTGGAAACCTGAAGCGGAAGGATCACCAGAGTCCAGCAGGTCAAGGCTGTGGTGGCCGTGAGTGTGTCACTGCACTCCAGCCTGGGTAACAAAATGAGACTCCAACTCAAAACAAAAAGAACCACAGGGCCAGCCTGACCTGCTGGAGGGCAATGCTATGTGGTTCTGACAGCTATCCTCAGCATCTGGCTCAGTGCCTGATACATAGATACTCCAGGAAGCAGGTGTTGGAGCGACAGGCATTGGGCACCCAGGATCTCATCTCGCTCATTCACTACACTGTTAACTGAGCATATTTCGTACACCAGCTCCCATGAGTGGCACCGCGCTGCCTCCAAGATCCCGAGAGATAAGGCCTGCTAGGGGGACAGATGCAGGGATTTCCCAGGGGATGGCTGACCCCAGTGGAGCGATGAGGAGGTGGCCCTGGGAGGCTTCTGGAGGATGTGAAGTCTGAAGTCAGTAGGCCTTTCTTCCCCTTGGCTCCTCCCCCCGTAATCAGGCCAAGGTCACTTCACCCTAAGGGCCATCCTGCTCAGTGAGTCCTGGACCCTAAACAGGCAGAAGTGCTCTGGCCTGGGCTGCTTTGGACTCAAACTTAGGTTGAATTCTTGGTTCCATCCTTCCCAGCTCAGCTGCCTGGAGCACTTTTCTTAACTTTTCTGGACTTTTGCTCCAGAAAAAAAAGGGACTGATAATTCCTTCTGTTCTGTGGATTCCATAAGTAAACAATTGCCTCAACACAGGATGTGGCCCAGGGTGTGGGCTCAGAAAGGTGTGACCTGTTACTTCCAGACTCATCCATTCTATCCCATCCTCCCCTGCCTTTCTCCTGTCTGGCCCCAGTGTTCCTCCTGCACAGGGTCAGCAGAATACAGGCCGCCTCTTTTCACATGTCCTGAGGACTAAAACTGATTTTTATACTTTTTTTTTTTGAGTTGGAGTCTCATTCTGTCACCCAGGCTGGAGTGCAGTGGCACGCTCACAGCCACCACAGCCTTGACCTGCTAGGCTCAGGTGATCCTTCTGCCTCAAGTAGCTGGAACTACAGGCACATACCAACATGCCCGGCTAATTTGATTTATTGTAGAGATGAGATCTCGCAAAGTTGCCCGGGCTGGTCTTGAACCTGTGCACTCAGACAATCCTCTCACCTCGGTCTCCCAAAATGCTGGGATTACAGGCGTGAGGCACTGGGCCTGGCTGGTTTTTATACTTTTAAATGGTTGAGTCATGGCGTGTGAAAAGTATGTTAAATGCAAGTGTCTGACCCTAGGCAAAGCCCCTTGAAGGCAGGCGTGGACAGTCTCATGTCCGTCCCAGCCCTGACATAAGCCTGGTGCCCAGCGAGTCCTTCAGTGTGGAATGCTGGGCATTGGTGACCCTGTGTGTTGTACCCACCAGCCTGGTTGCCAGCTAGCAGGGGCCATGTTATTTCTTCTTACCGTTTAGTACCAAATCTTGTTTGACAGAACTGGGTCACTACCTTCAGGTGGGGAACCAAGGAGGTAAGCAGGCCACCAGAACACAGAGTCAGTGTCAGGATGAGCTCAGGGTGCTGTGGCACAAAGGAGGACAGCGGATCTAGGCTCAAGGGTCAGGGAAGGCTTCCTGGAAGAGGCAGCCCTGAGGATGCGTTGGAGTGACCTACAGGGAGCAACACTCCTGGGTAGCTTGGAACTTAGAGTGTCCTGGGACGCGGGACTTTCAGAGTTAGATGGGACAGTTGGGCACCCTGTGTCTGCGTGCAACTCCATGGAACAAACAGCATGTGCAGAGGCCCAGAGGCGAGAAACCCAGGGGCCAAGGGGGAGCCTGTGCCAGTGGGCAGGGGTAAAAGGTAGGCGGGCCCCCTCCTGATGAGCCTCTCAGGGAGGCTGTGTGTGCAGGGACCTGCCTGCCTCGAGGTGGACTTGACTCTCTGCTCACGGCACCAGGGTTTATCCTCCCTGCTCCTGTTCTGAACGCCCAGGAGTTGGTTTCCATAAACGCCAGGCACCGAAAATGCAGAGCTGAGACAGGGACTCCTGCCTCCACGTTGCTCCCGTCTGAGGCGGGTTGGGGCAGCCACGCTCCCCAGATGAGCTAGGTGGGCCAGGCTCTAGAGGTGGGGGCTGGATCCACTGCCGCAGTGAGTGGGACAGTTTGGGAGAGGCAGAAGCTGCCAGAAGACAACTGGAGCCAGGAGTGATTGGGGCACGAAGGGAGGAGTGGGGGAAGCCAAAGGAGAGACCACTTCCCTGCTCCAGGTGGGCGGAAGGTGGGTAGGAGCAGACAGTTGCAGTCAGCTGGCGCTGTGAGCTCGTCCACCTGCTGTGTGCTTTCCAGTGAGTATCCTGAGCTTCTCCTGGCTGGGGACTCCTAGGCTTGTCCTTCCTCTTCTAGGTCTTCAGTGATTTTGTGTTTGAGGCTTCTGCCTCTACCGACACTTTTTTTTAAAAGAGATACAAGTCGGTCAGCCGCCATGCTGCTCTGTAAGCCCTGGCACCCTCCCAGTTCAGGGGAGATGGATCCCCTTTTCTCTCTCTCTCTCTCTGATCTACTTTCTAAACGCATCATACTCTCCAATCTAAAAAAAAAAAAGAGCGAGAAAGAGAGAGATGTAGTTCTCACTTTAATGCTGAGGTTGATCTCAAACTCTTGACCTCAAATGATCCTCCTGCCTCGGCCTCCCAAAGTACTGGGATTACAGGCATGAGCCACTGTACCTTCCTTTGCCAGAACTTTAGGGCCATTCAGAAGCCATGGCAAGTGCCTTTTCAGAACTAACCTCTGTCATGAAGGGGCCCAAGTAAATCTTTAGATGAGCCTTAAGATACCTGAGTATCTCCTGCCAGGAGTCATACAGAGGATCATGAATCGGCTTGCCTGGCTCCCTTCAGTCAGCCCTGGGCCCCACACACAGTGCGATGAAAGTGGCCCTCAGGGGTAGCAGTGGGGTGGACGGCATGCCTCTCCTTCTTGTGGTGTTTGGAATTTTGTGTGGGTCAGACCAGCCAAGTTTTGCTTTCAAGGAGAGTCACTTCCCCAGGGGAATGGGAAGAGAGACACGGTTAGTATGTTGTTGGATCATCCGATGGCAGCTTGCCCTTCTGTTGACTTGCCTGCATGTGCCCAGCAGTGGTTGGGATAGGACTGGGTGACAGGGACAGGTCCCAGCAGCTGGAACACTGGGGTGGGGAGTGTCCTGCTTGCCTGACATTTTTTTGGAGGGAAAATCGGGTTTGCTGTGGAACAGTCAGAGGGTGTCTGCAGAAAGGGGACCTATTCTGTACACAGAGATGAGTCACACGCTCCAGCATTGAGCAAGGGACAGAATTAGAGAAGCACTTGGCTCTGCCCACTAAGAGCAGTCTGTCTAATCACAGCTTATGCTCCGAGGTGAGTTGCTTCCATCCGTGGGCAGAGGACGATGCACTGACAACTTTGTCTAACATGTTAAAGTCTGAAACCAGAGAAGACGCAGCTGTCACCTTCGAGTCAAGTATGTAACTCGATGCTGATGTGTGTACATCCTCTGGCTGCTGGCGGCCTTGCATTTGGCTTTCTGTCTCTGTCTCCTTCTCTCTGATCAAACCCTTGAAGGCCTGGGTCTTTTGGCGCCCCGCCCACCCCTTGCTGACATGAGCATCATTCCGGGCTTCCTTTTTCTAGGGAAGTATGTGATGGTGATGGGAGTGGTTCAGACCTGCAGCCCCGAGCCGTGCCTTCAGGCTGTGAAGATGACGGACCTTTCTGACAATCCCATCCATGAAGACATGTGGGAACTAGAAGTGGAAGATTTACACAGGAGCATTCCTTAGGTCATGCTGGCACTGTCCTTATAAACAACCCAGGGTCCAAAACACTCAGGTGCACATACCGTGCGGATTTCATGGAGATGGCTCAGCGTGTCTTCCTCAGAAGTTGCTCGGAGGGCCTCGAGCTGGCTGACCCTGGAGTCCGGCTGTTGGGATGTTTATGTGCTGGCTTGCTTCGGTTCATGCTGCCCCCTGCTTTGACTGTTGCTGATGAGAAGCAGATGCTGCATTCTTTTCTTCTCTCTGGTTTGTGTGTGCTAATTCACTCTCCCTAAAGCACACAGGCATCTCATGTTGCGTTTTCCAGAGTTTACGAGTGGTAATGCTTTTTCCATGACCGCCGCATCCGTGCCTCACAATGCAGATGTGAATCTCAGCCGCTGCTGTGGTGATTCAAGTGTGGTTTGGGCAGGAAGACAGACTGCAAAAGAGGAATGACATCAGGGCTGCTCGTCCTCTCCATCAGCAGCTCACAAGTCAGCTGGCATTTCCCAGCACTGGCACCGCGGCCCTCACAGACACACCGCAGCCCTCACAGACACGGTGCCTTTCTGCTGCAGACACTGCTCAAACATGTCTGGTCCGTCCCCCAGATAAGGAAGCAGCACCTTCTTCCTTCATCAGAGACGTTTTCCCAATTTCTTGTCCAAATAAAAAAGAGCATCAAGATTGAGGACAACGTTCACCCTCAGCTGAACTGATCCATAACTCTGGGCGAGACTGCAGGGGCCGCCTCCTGGCCTAGAGTTCCTGTACCTCCCGTGTGGAGTGACTGCTGTGACGGGTTGAATGCTGGGCTTCTGCGTGCTGCTTCTCACCATACCTGGTTTTCTGTAAATATGGAGGGAGGCAGCTCTGACCCAACATTGCCTTGCAGTTTTGCCTGGATTATTGATATCCGAAAATCAATAAATGTTTTAATAAACTGTATGCTTTTTTTGGTAGACTTTATTTTTTTTGAGTGATTTTAGGTTTCAGAATAATGGGACAGAAAGTAGAGGTCCCAGCACTCACACCCCACTCACTCCCCAGTCAGACCCCATTCACATCTCACTCATAGCCCATTCCCCACTCACACCCCACTCCCCGTGTCCCCTGCTACTCACGTGTCTTATTAAGTGGTACATTTGTACACTTGATAAGCCAATGTTGATGCCTTATTAACCGAAGGCCACAGTTCACATTAGGACTCACAGTTCACATTAGGACTCGCTCCCAAATGCCTATGACATGCATCCACCACAATGGGATCACCCAGGGTCGCTTCCTGCCTGAGACCTCTATGCTCCCCACACTCACCCCTTGCGCAACCCAGCCCGCATCCACTGAGCCTGTGCCTGTCTCGATGGCTTTGCCTCTTCCAGAGTGTCACAGTTGAATCGCACACACAGACTGTTTCTGGACCGGCTGCGAGTGTGCCCATGAGGGTCCTCTGTGTCTCCCTGCAGCTTGATAGCGCATCTCTCTCTATCGCTGAAACATGTTCTGTGGTGGGGGTGTGCCCCCACCTGTGTATCTAATTCACCTACTGAAGGACATCTTGTTTGATTCCAGTCTTTGATGGTTATGACTAGAGCTGCTGTAAATACCCGTGTCAGGCTTCTGGTGGGCATACGTTTCCAGCTCACTGGGGTAGTGTCTGGGAGTGTGAAACTGCCGGAGTATCTTCTAATGTGGCGGCATCATTTTGCATTTCCACCAGCAGTGAATGAGGTTTCCTGCTGCTGCATATCCTTGCCAGCATTTGGTGTTGTCAGTGTTTTGCATTTTCTGTTTTTGTTATTTTTTTGAGTTGGAGTCTCACTCTGTCGCCCAGACTGGAGTGCAGTGGCCGCTCCCGGCCACCGCAGCCTCGACCTGCTGGGCTCCG